TCAGCTGATGTGTGTTTACGACTAGCTGTGATCATATGATATAGCTGGAATTGAGAGCTGAGCCTGACTTCGTGGCCTGCCTGAACTAACGCTATGCTTAATTACATGCTGTCCTTTTTCTTCTGTTTGGGCATGGAAGCTTTTTCCTCCCTTCGTATAATTAATAGCAACTACTCTAGCTTGCAGTCATGAACTTTGGTGTGAAATGATCAAACTACAGGTGGCAATACAGAAAAAATTAACCAGAATTTGCATAAAATGTATGTGCTGTTGAACTGCTGTGATGTTAGTTGAAAACGTAATTAAATTTGGCATATTCATAAAAGCTGTGGAACTTTCCCTAAAGTGGAAACAGCCCCAAGGAAAGCATAGAAGGCAACTGAATGTATCCTGTGGTGTTAAGTGGGTCTCTTAGTTTTGGCAGCACTTGTTTGTACTCTATTCTCCCTTCCTGTAGGTGGAATCGCTAAGCATGTGGTTGTAAATCAGATGTACTCCATGGTGTTCTTGCTGGAGGGCACAGTTGTATTAAGTGTGTCTGCCTACTATTTAACAGTGTTATGTACTGCATAAATATAACTCTGGCCTCCCCGCTTTGCACAGGTAGAAAAGCCCTACATCAAGCTGCAGCCATGGATGAGATGGACCTGCCCCAGATGAAGAAGGAGGTGGAGAGCCTCAAGTACCAGCTGGCCTTCAAACGAGAGAAGTCCTCCAAAACAGTGACTGAGTGAGTGGTTAGTCAACAGTGGCTCTACGAGCATCTGCACAAAAGCCCTGAAAAAGTCAGTAGCTCTGAGGCCAAAACAGCTGTCAAACACTTCTTTCTTACCGTATTGTTTGGCGCACTTGAATTAAGCTATGAGGTCAAAAAGACACATGCAGAAAAGAAGCTTTACGGGAGCCTTACGCATGAAGTGTTCCCTATGACAATTATGGAAAAAAGACTGAAAACTGTAACCCTGTGATATGTTCATGCTGTATATTTTGTGAACCATTCTACCCCTATTTCTCACTGTAGGATAGGTAGCAGTGATTTGTAGCTGCAGTAATCAATAATATACATCAATATAACAAACACTACTCGCAGAAGGCAAGAAATATCTTCTGTTTTTTGTAATAAATACTTGATATGACAGTATTAGTCATTCCACCACAATGATAAAACAATAATATGGCTTCATTAACTAATGCTGCCTTGAAGGCTATTGTTACAGCCACAGCACACGTCAAAGCACTAAGCAAAGCTGCAGCAGTCATTAAGTTCTGTACAGCACTCTCTTTGTCTGTCTCATGCTCTCACTGCAGTGCCAGTAGATTAAGGGCCAATCACAGAAACTGAAAAGAAACACTCCATTTGAGGCTTCATCAGCACCGCTTGAGAGGACCGTGTTTTGACTAATGCTGTTTTTCATGTAGAGTACAAAAGTATTCAGGGTCAGTGTTTTGAAACCCTGCGTTGAACTCTTCTGAATATAAAAATGATGAAAAACATAGAAGCAGTGAGTGTGTTGTTTTCTCAAGTAAAGCCCTGTTTATGGATAATTAGCTGGATTTAAAGTGACATTGTCTAACCTTTGAGGGATGAAATAACACATTCTTCTTTTTACAAATGAAAAGTGGAAAAGGGTGTTATTTCTCCTTTTAAAAGTTACATTGTGTTACTTTAAGAAATACACTTATTCTAGGGGTGTAAAGATCTACTGATATGAGTCAGAAATTGGTTTTAACATTTTAGATGCAACTACATCAAACAGTTGACTGAACTGTTGACTTGTTTAATCCATACAAAAACTGATCTAAAAACAACATGTTGTGGTTTTACGGGGTTATGTGGGACTACAGATTACAGACTACAGGAAGTAGTATAACTTTCTGTGCGGTAGATCTGTATTTGCCCTAAAGACATAAGAGTGGTTTTGGGAATTACACAATGAAGCACAAAAACAAAAGTCACATTACTCATGTATTTGTGACGGATAAATATTGTGAGAGCTAATAACATTTGTAGTCTGATTTTAACTGCTGTAAAGTATACAACTATGGTTAAAGTTCAGTTAAATAAAACTTTCTCCTGAAAGTAAAAGTACACAACAAGCTGCAGTCGCAGAAGTAAATGTAATTAGTTACTTCTGGCGCTCAGATTCTCTCTCTCTTTCTTGCCTTGTATGGAAAAAAGGAAAAGCGGATAGGGGATGGATTGTGGTAATAAACTTCCTCTGGAATTTGAAAAATGTCTCTCTGTCTCTCTGCGAAGCTTGGTAAAGTGGATAGAGGACGGCGTCCCAGAGGATCCCTTCCTGAACCCGGAGCTGATGAAGAACAACCCGTGGGTGGAGAAAGGAAAGTGCATCCTTCTGTAGAAGAAACCAACCACTCTACCATGACCTTTCAACTTTAACCGCCCTGACCAACACACACCTACAGATGACCCCTGAACCCGACCCTCCTGGTCCGGCCTGTGAAGGCCACAGCCGGGCAGCGCCTCCTAACCTCTCACCATGAATGTACAACAGCTGATGTCCCCCAACTTCACCCGAACACACACCCCAACAAGGGCACAGAAAACACACTGACCGAGACATACACTCACACACTATCACTCCTAACTTTGGGGTTTTCCCCGACTGCCACATATTCACTGCAAGTTTATTCCTGCCACGGCAATGCATCATTACTATGATATATGACAATGATGATCAATACTCTTATTACATGTCTCTATATGGATATATGATGACTTATTTATGCAGCTGATAGTCACACGCTTTCTCTTTTCAATCACTATCTCTACTCTCAGTTTTTTTCTCCTTACATTTTTGATTAATTGTAATAAACTGTAGAGTCACAACTCTCACTGCCAGACCGTAGATCTGCTGGGGTAATTTGGTTCTGTGTCGACATACGAAGCACTTACAAAATGCTCACTATAATAACACCAAAACAAATCTTTGGTACTTGTTCAATTGGAGGTTAATAGATTGTGCAAGTCTGTGGTTGACAAAATAACCTCTTTAAAGTTGTTAGCACCTCATTAAAACTAAATTTAATTTAATTCATTAAATCTATAGCAACCTATAATGATTTAAAATTAAATGAAAATCATTTATACAGTATACTTATACACCAAGGATTTGCTTGTGTTCGCTTACAGACTATGGTTTTAATGTTATACAAGACCCCCAAGTGAAAAATTGGCCTTACAAATGTAGAACCTATATCTCGTAAATGATATGTTCTCTTTATGTGAATTTGCTCAAAAGTTAAGAAAGATGCTAGTTCTTACTCATAAAGCTTTTTGACCATTTTTATCTCATCTACTGTTGTCATCACAATTGTAGATGGGATTTAATCAGGGCTAAAGACTAAAGATTTTCATGGTCGACTAACAGTCGTTAGATAAAGCCAATAGTCGACTAGTTGTTGCACGTCTATTTTATTAATGTAATTATTTAACTAAATATATATCTATACTTTAACAGCCGTTTGCTTAATGCTATTGGCAAACGCGGTAAGGATTCAACTTTCTGAATGTAAAGTTGCGCGGTTACATTATAACTTCCAACTGAAAAAAAACAAACACTCACGACGGATGTCATCGTCTCCGGAGTCAGAGTCCTGGTTGGAGCCACTGTAAATCACCTCGCCTCTGTCAGTTTTAGAGGCTGTGAACCCGGTTCCGTCACTGGCTCTGGTTCTGGTGTTCATTCTCCTATGCTAGTTCTTATGCTAGTAAACAAACTTCCTCCTGTCCTTCGAGCTCCCAGTCCTGGTAGATACTGTGTTACAAGAGCAAAGGTCTGGGGTCGACTAAGACGGTTTAGTTAGTACACTTTTTTTAAAACTTAGCTACATATATGCATCTCCACTGGCCAGATTACAAATTTCCTGGGCTACATGTAAATCAAGGCTGGCTTTACTCCAGAACGTGGTAGAGAAAAGAAGGATAGTTTGAACACTGTAGAAATTTAGTTACGAGTTAGTGTTCCATTAGCTAGCTAACTACTATTCGTAAGCTTACACAAACAAGTGAAGGAATCATATTTAGTGGTTTTGTCAGTCAATCTCTAATGCTTCTTGGGTGTATTTAAATAGCTTTTTGACACATGAACTGACTGAGTGTAAATAGTGTTTGCATTCAAGACATTTCCCATCCAACATGGGGCAGTTGTAATACATTTTATACCCATACTGCAAGCCATTGTAACAGTACTGTATGAATTATCCTTATTACAATTCTAAGTCAATAGGTTCTTATACAAATAATATAAGCATGTTTTTTTTGTTAGCTAATTATACTTATCTTTTAATATGTTAACCACAAACTGTTAGAGAACTGATTTTTTTTAAAGATAAAGAAATTAATTCCAAAGATTTGTTGGTGAAGGTGTCAGTATGCTCAAAATAAACTAGTGTGTGTCTAGTGTCAGCAAAGACAAAAGTGCTTGTGGCTGTTCCAAACATCCATGTCACAGAGACAATGGACGCCATTACACAGAGGACACGAAGAACATGCATGAATTAAGAAAAGTTCCTAGTGTCAGCAAAATTAGCCTTGTTTTCAGTTCTTACAGCTATCGTCCCATTGTGACTCCTACAGTTTTCATATGTAGTTTTGATTTCATACAGTGCCGCAAAGCATGGTTATCATATTTACAATCTGAAGATCTGCAACCAGTGTTGTCTTGCTTCAGTGTCTTTGGGTCAGAAAGCGTCATAGCAGCTCTGTTTGTGTTGTCAGAAAGCTATGGGTCTCTGGGGGAGGGAGTTGAGTGTACTGCTCATTCTACTCCTTAGCTACAGCCCCTAAGGACAACACACACAGGCTCAACATGCAAACGAAAAATCCACACATGTACAGACAGACCCCTTTAACTTATTAACTTATTGATCAATACGTTTATTTATTTATTTATTTATTGACGAGACCTTTCTCTCACCTTAGTTTTTGTTTTCCATGTCTGCACTCCCTCTTCCTCATACCCCATTTGAAAAAAAAAGGAAAGAAAAGAAAATGACCAAAAAATCGACTACACCTTGCCAGATCACCATCTACTACTGCCTTGTACACAGTTTCCTTAAAACGAGAATGTAAATATGTGGCATGATCACCGCTGACCTCAGAACTGGCCTGCGTGTGAGTGATCATCTTTAAAATATCATCATAAAAAAAAGGTGCATTAATTTGGATGTTAGGCTCCCTTGCAGATTGTGAAACACACATATGTGCAGCTGTGTAACACACACACAGGCAGGCCTGAGGCAGAGCAGATCAACAAAACACACACACACACACTGCTTAGTGAGAATGTGTATGAGGGGAGGAGTGGCAAGGATGTGGGATTCTGTAAATGACTTGGGACAGGGGAGCCTCACATCATCTCAGTACTGTAATGAGTCTTATTATGTACATTTTGTTCAAGATGACCCAGTTCCCTAAAGGCTACTCAGTGCTCGTATGACTTTGGTCCTATTATTTGTAACTGCAAATATTTGATTTTTCTTCTTTTTTTAAAAACAAACAAATTTGAACAGTTACATGCTCCATGACTTGCTAATAATAAATTATTTTTATTAAACATGCTTGCATTTATCTTAGAACTGTAAAACCTCCTGTAAAATAAATTAATTTATTAAAATATATATGGGGAACACAATAACAAATGCAATTGTACCACTGTACCTGAAGTGAGGCCTGTGAATTTAAGATTTCCAGTACTACAATAAGCATATATGCAACATGATGACTCTAATTGGAGCCATTTTAGAAGTCCCATTCATTGAGAGGCATGTACAATATGCATTCCATTATTTTTGACATAATGTTTTAGTTATTTTAAAGCTGCAGTAGGTAACTTATAAAAATATTTTTTTCCCCCATATTTGCTGAAATTTCACTAATATCTGACAGTAGTACATGAGACAGAATAATCAGTGAAAAAAAACAGGTTCCGCTCCTGGCTCCTCCTTGAGCTCCTAATGGTATGCAAGAAGTCAGCGGGCCCTAAAGCGAAACAACGCAATCAGAGCTGTGAAAGAACAGTTGATTTGTGAGTCTCAATTATCAGTTGTCAAATACTGACGGTTGAGGGAAATGAGCTATCTTTAAGCCACCAACCCAAAGTGTCCTGGGAATGAGACTCACCACCTTGGGCTCTGATTGGTTGCTTTTGTTCAGGCCGCGGTGGATTCCCTTTGCAAATACTATTTAGGAGCCTAGGAAGGAGCGCAGAGGAACCTGATTTTTCACAGATTATCTGTGCTCACGTTCTACTGTCAGGATATAGTGAAAGTTTCAGCAAATATGACAAAAAGTTATTTTTATAAAAGTTAGTTACTTTGCAGCTTTAAAAGTTTACGTGATGGACAGTACAATGTTAACTAGTTGAAAGAATGATACTAAAGCTTTGTGTTAAAATATAGCCTTGTAATTTCATGATAAATGCATGAAAGTAGACTTTTAAAATGGCTTCCAAAGTATGAGGTTCAGGTTTCAGGTTTGTAGCTTTTCCAGTGTTAGGCTCAAGTTTATTCCCTCCTCCAACATTAAATTTTGACCTCTTACAATACCACTGGAAAAGCAACAAGTCACAGGGGCCTCGCTCCAAAAGTACATGAGAGGATTCCCAAGTCTGCCTGTCCCTTGTCTGTTTTCTGTTCAGCAACTGTAACTTTATTTGTTTGGTTTGTTTTTATATAATCTGAACGTAAGTACGTATGTATGTTATTACTATTATTATGACAGCATAAAACCTTGTCTAAATATCTAGCAACATATTCCTTGTGAGAGTGCTTTGGAAAAATTATTATGCATCAGATCAAGTCCTAGAGTAAAGATGACAATGAGCAATAAATTAAAGATCATTTTTTATTGAATGTTTTACAAAAACATTTATCTTATTGAATAAAGTAGAAGATTTTTAGACAACTTGGTTGTCTTGGTTGGTTTTTATGTGTGTTTGTACCTGTGTTAATATAAATATAAATATATTTTCAACAGCAAATCTATAATAAGAGTGGCCTGGTTCCATCCAGATCTTTAAATCACTGCCCATATCTTCTCTTAGCTTACTGGCTAACTAGCTATCATGGTAGGCTGACACACCTTTTTTTTTTCAGCTAGTAGAATTCTACCCTTCAAATTCTAACAAACTGCAGTTCCTTGGCTCCAATCATTAGATTTACATTTGATTAGTTTTTAGGCTCCTATACCAAAGCTACACCCTGTATGCTAAAAGGGGGTTGCTAATTTTCTCCTTATAGTTACTTTCTACAAAAGGGCCTGGCTAAACAGAAATCCTTCAACCAATGGCCTCGAAATCTAGCTTACTAGCTAACTAGTTATTGTGTTAGTCTGTCACATAGCATCTTTTTTTTTAGCTGGGCCTCAGTATGATGTTTCTTAGCCAGAGAAACTGCAGTTGTTTGGCTCTGGCCATCAGGTTTTCATTTGATTACCTGTACTACAAGTTTTTCAGCCTCGTAGAGTAGCTCTGCCTCTGGGATATGTATGCAAAACTTCAAATCTGTAACAGAAAGCAGAAATGAATGAGGGAGCAAGAGACCTGGAGAAAAAATAAAAAAGACTGAAAGATAGGAAGTATAGACAGTGGAGGCAGATGGTCCAATGGAAGGCAACACTCAAGGAAAAGACGAAAAGCTACAATCTCTTCTCCTCCTTCCCGTCCACTGCTTCTTGTAACTCATGAATAATAGAAAGCAGGCGATATCGGAGGGCTCTCACTCTCACCCTGTCAGTGATCTCTCACTTTCTCTTCCTCTCTCAGTCTATCCCTGCATCCCTTTTCTCATTTTCTCAATCCCTTACTTCTCTCCCAATATTAATCCATAGTGAGCTGTGAGGAAAATGTATATAGCAACATTAACTAGTGTGTACAAGCATCAATATATAGACTGAACTGCTGGGTAGTAGAGCATACCTATTACCGTTACCCATTAAATAGACAGATCAGAATCGCAATCAGAAACAGGTTTATTGCCAAGTGCATAGCAGTCAAATTATACAAAGTATAAAAGAAAAACAAGTACAAGTCAAGCAATCATAAATACAAAATAGAAATATACATTAAATACTTACTTAAGTGAAAAGAGCTGTACAATGTTGGAAATGAGGAGAATGAAATAGTCAAATGTTTCTAGTATAAAGAATATGTGAGAGCTTTGATTGAGCCCAAAATTCAGGCCTGTGTGAGCCCAAACTGAACCACGGCAGCAGTTTTGGGCACGACCCAAACCCGAATCACTGCTTTACAAATACACAAATAAATAATTTAAAAATTTTATTACTGACTTAAGTTTTATCAAAACTACTCAATAACAAATTAAATTACCGACCTACGGCAGCAGTCTTGGGCCTGAACCCAGCCCGAACACAGAGGTTACAGACAAGAAAATATAAAAAGATTTAACTTGACATTCATTTTAACCATCATCATCAAACAGACTGTCAATAATTTTCTCGATTGAATCAATTAATTAATCAAAAATAAACTCAAATAGACCACCAAAACAGCTGGCAGCCAATCAATAATTAGATGTAGCTCTAATTTGTACTTGTTTAGGAAATCATTGCATCATCAACTGTTGACAAGACTTGCAAGGTTTCTATACATGGCTTTATATCTTGAACTGTCAATTAATTATTTAACAAAAAAATCTTAAACTCAAGGTCCACTTACAAGCTTTTTCTGTAGCTTTTAATGATATCTTACAGTCACAAGATGAACTTAGTAAACCACAATTTCCACAGTCAAGAATTAACTTTCACACTCAACTATAAAACTAACAGTATATATAAACGCTTAATACCCAACCAACAAAAATCAGTGTGTCTATGTCTGCGGTTGTTTCTTTTCTACTTTCCGATGCCAGTTTTCTGTTTAGTTGACTGGTAAATTGAGAAAGTGAGTGCTTAATTTACTTCCCCCAATGCAGCAAACAATCTTTTTTCTCGTCGTTTGCGTTCCCTCCTACTCTCCCGTACAATGCTCTTGAAAACTTTGGAGAGCGACACAGCAGCACTGCAGAGCGAAATGCAAACAATCCACAATTTTTCCTAAATGAATGATTTGAATGACAATTTAAACTGTGGCCTGTGATATGTTTGGGGACCTCTGGAGCGTGAAACAGGGCCCCAACGGCCCCTGTTCATAAAATGATGCAGATACCTTCTGGCGACTGAGGGTAACATCTCAGCTTTGGTTTATTGCAGATAGTTTACACACTGGAGTGTCGATTTAAACGTCAAATTGTTCAGTGGGTATATTTTGAATAAAAGGAAGAGGAGACGATAGGAGGCTGACTCTTGCTCAGGGTGTGTCTGTCTGCTTTTTATGGGTCAGCTCCCCTCAATCCCTTCGACACACACTGACACACACAAGCGCTCACTAATGCACTCAATCCCCCTCACTCTTGCTGCTAAATCCTCACCCCCATTGTCCCTTTCCCCCTGAAATCCTCAAAGTATCAGCACTCCTCCACACACACACACACACACACACACACACCCCTCTCCATACTCAGTTTCTCCAGTCTGTCTGCAGTCAGGGCTAATGCACTGGTTAATGGCTGGCTAACTCCCTATTCACTCTCAGATTACACCCTTGCTCACGCAGGAATACAAACGTGCAGACCGGTACATCTCCGCATGCACGTGCACATTCACGCATATACCTAAACACACACTGTGGTAAACATGCACATACACAAACACAAAACAGGCACTAATGGCCTGTCAGTCCTCAGCATGTACATTCACGAGTGGATTAGGATTAACAATCCACCCGCAACATCACTACACACACACACACAGTGTATACAAAGAGAACCAATCTCTAATGCACATTCTGCTGGTGGTGGTGATAATCTCTCTCTCTCTCTCTCTCTCTCACACACACACACTCACCACATACACCAGGCCGACTGCTCTCTGTGCTGCTGAGGTCACCAGATGCCATCTAATCTAAGAGCTTTAATCCACTCTTTCGGGGACCTTCTCTCTTTCCCCCACTCTCTCATGAGTGCTCTCTGTTTGAATGCGCTGGGGGCAGGAACTGCACATAATAGCACATATTGTGTTGGTAGTTGGTCTCAGACATGTAAAACCAGCCTTAAGCCTATTGAGATACTCCAATACTGAAAAAGCACTAATCTGTCCCCAGAAAATATGTCAAATATGTTCTCCTTTTTTGAGTGCTGTCTCTTCTTATTTCCAATGTATTTCTGTTTGTTAAGGAAAACATTAAGTGTGTGTGTTTTCCCCATTTGAAGCTATCCTACTACTGGGAAATGTATTATTCTAATTGTTAGCAGTAAGCAACCAAAACTAAATGTAACAACAAGTGGAAGGGCACTCTTTCGGGGGAATCACAGACTATTCCTTTTCAAATGTTGATATAGTCCTCAAAACTATAAGCCTTGAAGGTTTAAGACAAAAAGTTGAACTGTCAACATTAAGGCTTCAGTATGCTTCAAAAGAACTACAAACATGTCTGAAAGCAAAAAGGTTAATACGTGTTCCAAATGGCCAAATGTAGAAGAGAGGGTTGAGACACTATGAATCGTAGGATGAGGACACTTTTAGACACTTTGTTGGAAGGCATTGATTGGAATGCACGCATGGCAGAAGTAATTGCATGAGGAATGAAACAAACAGGGATTGAGAGAAAAGTTCAAAACTGCCAATTTTGTCACCTCTGCGCATCGACAGTAGGAGGGACAAGGATAAATGTGATGAATGTGATAACCCACATACAACATTAGCACATACATGCTATCTATCAACTACCTATATGCAGGGTTCTCTTTCTCACTCACACACTTCTCCTTCCTTTCAGATGCTAC